GACTTTTTGATTAGCAGCCAAATACCTCAGCCACTGTACTACCAGAGCTTCACCTTAGGTTAGAAGGCACTCAAAATATATAGTAACCACAACACTGGACTCAAGAATATCAGAGTATGAGGATGTAAAAACATTTCATTTTGTTATTCACCATGCACAACAGTTGCTGACTCAATGGCAACTAATAAGAACAGTGTTTTTATCCCTCTTTGTGTAGATGTTAAAATTAAAGAGAACTCTGTAGTCATAATCCACTGGACAGCAGCTGATATTTTTCTTTCTCAACAACATTAATGATGCCAGCACACTAACCACACATGGCACAGTGGCCTTTCTGAAAGCATGGTGACTGTGATGAAAGGTGTTGCTGTTGCCAGATACCTAGTGACAGGCTTAGAAATGGGTCTTTGGAAGCCCAATGGATTGAGGGAAAGCTTCCCTTTTGAAAGGGGCAGCAGATGGCATTCTTAGCAGTCCCCAACTGAGCAAGGGCTGAAGGAAGCCATGGGATTCCATCTGGGAGAGAACCTGTCTTCTCTGGCCAGGGAGTCAATGTGTTTGCAATCTTCACATTTTCTGTGCTCTTTCAGAAGGGCAGCTTGTACAAGCCTGGAAAATTCTGACCAGGAAGAACTGTACCTTTTCATGTTACTTCAGAGAAGACAGGGTAGTCAAAAGGAAAAAGATGACAGGGCAAAGTGGTGAACATATGTTAAAAAAAAGTCACAAACTATTCATTAAGCAAAATGAAAAGATGGATGAACATGAAGCTCTGATATTTGAAAATGTTGGTGGCCAAAGACTTTATCCTTCCTTCAAATCTGACCCACAGAATTGAGCCAGAAAATGTGTTCATGACTGTTTCCATGGCTCTTACTCAGCTACAAGTCATTTCCCCTTTCAGATTATTTCCATTTTTAAGGTCCAATTTCCATTTGCTTTTTGATCTTCTGCTTTAAAGACTTTTAGCCAATATTGACTGCCAAGTGCCAAGTTTCTTTCAAGGCTTTGAACCTAGGTCTTATCCTTGTCAGTGTGTTCTGTTTGTGACTGGCTGGTCCAAGGTAGACAGGGGTTTCCTGGTAGGGTAAAAAAAAAAAAAAAAGTGGACTTCTCGTTAAAGGGTGGAGGTAAAACTGAAAATCTGAAGGCACCTTTTGGAGACATCAATGACTTCGTAGAGTAAAAGCTCTATGGAAAAGTAATAACGCAATTATCAACTTATTAATCTATATAAATAATTTGATACAATGGAACATGGCAGTTTCAGCATCAACTGTTCCCGAGTGAAATTTCTTAAGTTTTATGATATATTTAGTCTTCCATGAAATATCATTTTCTATATTCTCAGTTTAATTCTTCATCAGTGTTTTAATTAAAAAAATATTCTGGGTCTGGGTCCACTAGACATAAAAAATTTATAAACGGGTCAATGATTCTTTGCATAAAAACTATTGATGCTTTTCTGTCTTAATTTTAAGCTTTTCAGGGGCAAGAATTATGAGATATTTCTGTTTTTATTCCCATAGGTCATAGCTAGCAGACATTTAGCCCACAAGGACCTAGTTACCTTTGTCAATATCGCACTAGTTTTGGTGTGGCTCTACCTGTTAGAGCCACACTCATGTATCCCAAGGAGTCAAGGACCATATTTTCTCATTGTTTCTAAATTACATCTATTTTTTTTCATTCTAAATATGCAGATGAAGGCACTTATTAGTGTGCCATTGTGGATTTAATCATGTATATACTGCTAAAAAATAACTTAATGCATGAACAATTCAGAAAAAAAAAAAGAAATCTCGCCACCCACACACCTCTTGTTAAAAGGGGGCAGTATTTTGCGGGAAAAGTATTTGTTTCCCATCTTTCTCCTCTCTTACTTAGAATTTCTACTTCATCACAATCAACTGCTGAATAGTTAAATGACATGCCATCCGTCGTCTTTGTATTTCCAAAACTGTGTCTTTATTGCCGACTGGAATAAAATTCAGAATATTCGTTTAGCCCCTTATTATTTCCATAATACCAAAAAAAAAGAAAAGAAACTCCCTTGTTCTTCTAGGTTGTTACTACTGTAAGATGCTCCGTGGAAGGGAGCCGAGTGGTGGGCAGCGGCTGTGCGTCCCGATAACGAGCGCCTCGCATTTCCGTGGTATTCCCATTTGCTAGCGCGCTGCTGTGGCCGCTCTCCTGATTGATATATGACTGCAATGGCACTTTTCCATTTGACATTCTCTCTCTCTCTCCCTCTCTCTCTCTCTCTCTCTCTCTCTCTCTCCCTGTGTCGCTTAAACAACAGTCCTAACTTTTGTGTGTTGCAAATATAAAAGGCAAGCCATGTGACAGAGGGACAGAAGAACAAAAGCATTTGGAAGTAACAGGACCTCTTTCTAGCTCTCAGAAAAGTCTGAGAAGAAAGGAGCCCTGCGTTTTCCCCAAGGTAAGCAGGAAAACAAGCGCTGACGGCTTGCCTAGGAAATTACTTCTTTCCAAACGGAGCATTTCATCCTCCTCTCAGACAAAGAGACAACCTTTAAATACCACTTAAATTTGCATTAATTGAATTTACATTAATCTGTAGCATGCTAGCATTGTGTTTTTTAAACGAACGTGTCTTTGAAGTCTGTGATAGAGCAGGGGAGCCTCACAGAGAGGCTTGAAAATAGCTTTTGGGTGGATTTAAAGAGATTTTATTTGGAAACTCTCTGTGTAGTTCTATGTAACTTTGTAATGGTTCTTCTATTTGGCTATGCGAAAGGGCACTGAGAAGCAGCCTCTCTCTGACTTGGGTTCATGGAGCCTCAGCTATCTTCCCCACCACCCTCATCCCACTACAATGGGGCACTATTAGGGCAAGCAAGCCTGAGAGTTTAAAAGCGCACTGTTTACTTTTATTACAACTTATGTATGCTGCTGATCTCTTGCCAGGGTTCTGCCGGAGTGCTTAGAATGACTTCAAACAATAGGCAACATTTATTTCTAGCTTTCTGTGTCACGCTTTGCAAGAATCCTGTTCCTTTGCACCCTTCTTCCAACGTGCAGGACTTCATTTCCATAGATAAATTCAGGAGCACTGGGGAAAGATGAGGATGAGTTTGCTATATGATTTTGATTGGGCAAGAAGTCCAGGGCAATGTATGCTGTTTGCCTTGGCCTTACTGCAAAGGGTTATATTTAGTAGTCAGCTTGTTCCTGCAGCACGACCAATACCACAAAGTGGCTGTCCATGGAGTGACTGGGAAAGGATGCTCCCATCAGCACAGGGACCCCGGGACCAGAAGGAATGACTCCTAAAAGCACCTGAGGACTATTCAGAGGGTTCTTTCAAAGTCCTGAATACAAGTTCTCTCTTTAAGGCAAGAACTGAACGGAAGGAGGCCTGAGCACAACCCTTTCTTGGGGACGGGAAGTTTGACTATGAACAGAATGTTAATGACTCACAACACCCTATAACTGGGGCTCATTGTAATGCACTAGCCCAAATAAGCCTTCAGGAAAGAGGCAGGTTCCCTACTGTACTAAGATTCAGGTGCATGAGAAGGAGCTATTTGGCAAGATGGGAGTCTCATGCTCTATTCTGTGTAACTAGCATTAATAACAAGGAGGGCTGGTGACTTAGTGCCTAAGGCATTTGACTGCTAACCCGAAGGTTGGTGGTTCAAACTCACCAGCCACTCTGTGGAAGGAAGATGGGGCAATTTACTTCCATAAAGATTTACTGCCTCGGAAACCCAATGGGCATCTCTATGAGTTGGAATAGACTCAATGGCAGTGAGTTAGAGTTTTAGCATTAACAACGGATATGGCTGCTGCAAAACTTGCCTCGTTTCGTTTCTAATATTGGTGTATTTTAATTATAAGGAGTTGACAGTGGCAAATTGCTCCAACACATAACATAACTACCAGTTGCATTTGAAAACCTAGAAATGCTTAAAATGCATTGTCTGTGGGTATCAACCAAATGCAGCAGGGACTGCTGAATGCCGTTCAATCGAAGATTTAGATCAAATGCCAATATCTTCTCTTGTTTTCTTCTCCTCAGTCTGGCTTCTGGCAATTTCTTCCTATTTGAAGAATGTTGCACTGACAATAAACTTGAGGGTCCTATTGTTCATTTTTCATTGTAGAGAGGAGACATGGTCTATGGGGAACCTTTCTGATTTTCTCTCATAACTAGCTTCACAAGCATTGTTGAAATGAAAATCTGACTTTTGAATGACTTAATTTATAAAGTTGGAATTCACACTGTTGAAGAAAATCTGTAAAAGATACTATGAAGTATATTGCTACAAATTTTTAGTGATTTGTTTTTAAACTACTGTTGCTAATATAGCACTTAACCAAATCAAAAGAATTTTCTTCAACTACTATTCAAATCATTACTTGAGAATGTTTATCCCCAAAGGGCAAGGTTTTGTGTCATTTATGTTAAAATGTGTTTGGTTCAGATAAAGGGAGAACTGACCAGGGCCTTCTAGATGACTATGTACCAAGCAGCTGACACTTGCAGATGGAAATGTTCTTGTAGACTTTTCAATCTTGATTCGAGTTCCAAAGACACTGCCAAGGGAAAATAAATCATTTTTCAATACATTTAGCAATTCCCAACTCATTTATTTTCCTGGGTCCTTGAAAAATGTGGTGAATTTTTCAGAATTATAGTCACCAATCAGTGGCTGGCAAATTTTACACTATTTTATGAACTTGCAATTCAAGTGCTAGTCTTTTATTTGTTAATTATTGATTCCATCATTCTTTTTAGTAAATATTTGTTAGGCATTTTCTATATGCCCAGCACTGTACTAGTCCTGATGATGCAAAGATGAATAGGACATGGTCCCACACCCGAATTCTAAGTCTGCCTGGTATTGCCACTTAGATTTTGGAATTGAAATAGGCTTTGCCAATGGATAAACTTAGTCATACCTTCCCTGTTATAAAGAACCATTTAAGATATCCACTGACATGCACATTTGCTTGAAGTGATGATTACTCATCAATGGGAATTTCTTTCCATTTATGATTAATGAGTTCCCCTTAGGTCTTTATCACCAGATCTTTGAGTACATGTTGCACAGCCTGGATCTTTCCAGCCTGGGTAGACCAGTCCAGTTGTCACTGAGTTGATTCTGAATCATGGTGACCTCATGTGTGTCAGAATAGAACTGGTCTTCATAGGGTTTTCAATGGCTGATTTTTCAAAAGTAGATCAGCAGGCCTTTCTTCCAAGGCACTTCTGGGTGAACTCAAACCTTCAACTTTTCAGTTAGCAGCCAAGTGTGTTAAAAGTTGGCATCACCCAGGGATGCCTGGGTAGAAAAAAAAAAACTGAAAGAAGAGTCTTTTATCCTGCCTCTATTCCTTTGAACAGTCTTAGATGGGACCATATGCTGTCTCTATCAGGGATGGGTATGAGTCACCTCCTCAGCAGCTGACATCAGGGCCACTTGATGAATCATTGAGTAAGTAACATGCATGGAAGAAGATTCAGTCACTGTCTCCCACCACTACTTGTCCCACCCCCAGGATCAAAAACAATGACCTTTGGGCCTGGCAGAAATTCAAAAGGCCCTTGGGAATAAGTTGTCGGAAGTTGTTTCCAAGACCCAGGTCTCTCTCAGAACCACACACAGTGTTGTTTTCAAATAATGCAGTCTTGTGTTTTGTGATGCAGTTAGATTACTTGGAAGAAAATCCTGGAGCATCACTGCTGAAGACCAGTGTCCTTGACTTGGTCTTTATCATCACATCAGATAAATCCCCCTGCTGGGTTTAAAATGCTTCTGACTCCCTGGGGTGCCAGACTTACCCTGGCCAGCACTCAACTTCTTGGCCAGAGGCCTAGGAGCCCATCTTCACCTCTTCTCCAGTTAATGCTCCTATCTCCAGGCCCTCTCACTTTTCCATTGGGAGTGGAGGGGATGGGAAGGCAGGTGGAAAGACTGAGAAGTACTAAAACTGAGGAGGGAAGCAGGGCCATGTGAGGGTGGGTGAGCTCCAGGGCTTGGATTGCTGTGGCCTGCCCTGGCTGTGATCAGCTGTCATTTCCTCTTTGTGTATGACACCCTGGAACATATTAAAATTTCTCTGGGATGGTATGTTTGGAATTCCTCTGATGCCCCACCTCACCAACTTACTCAGACAATAAAAGCAAGGTTGTAAGCCTTTGAACAGCTGGCAGGCTATATATTTCCCCTCTTTCTTTCGCATAATCTAATTCAGAAAAGAATCCAGTGAGACTGGCAGTGCCATGTCTGGGCACTTGTTTCCTGCAAGCCCTTCCTCCACCACCTCCTCCAGCCAGCCCTGCCTGGAATCTTCCTGGGTGGCATGTCGCTTTTCTTTTCTTTCCTGCTCACTACCACTCCCACCCGCCCCCTTTTCCCTTCGCCTGAGCTCCTTCCATTGTGAGCTCTCTCTTCCACTCTGCCTGTTTTCCAGACGGCTTGGGTCCTGTTCTGTCAGGGGAGAAGAGCCCTGTAGGTCTCCCCATCTCCATAGTCTTCCCAAGATGTCATTCTTGGCACCAACTCTGCTGGCCTGATAGGATTGGGGGGCTTTTTGTAGACCCGAGCCTGAACCCACTCACAGCTACATGGCTTAGCTGCCCTTTAGGCTGCCCAAGAACAGAGCTGAAGTGACTGGGGCTGGCAAGGACAAGCATACCATCACAGTGATCTGCACATCTCCAGCAAAGGGCTGGGGGCGGGAGCGCTATGGGAATGCCTGGGTGCACTTCGGCCTACATTAGGAGAAATATAGTGATTCTCTCTGTTTCAGGGGGAGAGACAAGTGACTGGAAACAAAGCTCCCTGGATCCTGGGGCCCTGCCCTGCCCCCTTTCCTCGTCCTTCCCACGTCCTTCACTGACCAAAAAGAGAGAAAGAGAGACAGGACTTTTAATTTGGCTAGCACAGACCTGAATGTCTTTGTAAAACCCATTTGGTGAAAGGAGGGGAGAAATAGATGCTGGGTTGAGCCACACTGAAAATGCAAGGGGCTTTAGAGATGGGGAGGGCTTTTTCTTTCTTCCTTTCTCTTAATAGCAGTTTGGTTTATGAGTTGCAAATGGAAGGAACTGGACCTCTCAATTAGAAATTCCCATGTAAGAGCCTCATGTAACTCCCTGTGCAGCATCCATAAAAGATGCTGCAAATGTCCTTGGGACCAAAAAGTATTAAAGTGCAATCTACAATGCGGCTTCCTATTCCTTTTCTTTTCCTGGGGGCTTTTCTGAATTAGCTCAAGTTCATTAAAAGACCCAAAAGGAAAAATTTAACACAGCTGAATTAAAATGATTCTTTTCCTGTTAGCTTGACAAGAAGAAAGAAAGAATGAAAAGAAAGCAAAGAAAGAACCAACTTCCCTCCTCTACCCCTTCTTGGGTTTTAATATGAATTATTCCATACAAGTCCCTAGGCTAGAGGATCTATTTAAAGA